GGAGGGATACTCCCTCACCCCCATTACTTTCATTGCTGTATGAACCGGTCCATTTATTTGTGATTTTAGCTTAACTGATATGTTACCAAACCAAGCTACAATTCCATAACATAATACACTCTCTATCACAGCCTGGTAAAATAACATCAATACCCTCTGTCCAAAACCAAACACCCTGAGTCTTCGCAGGAAATAAAGTCACTGTTGAATCTTAGTACATACAGAACTCACATGGACATTCCAAGACAGTTTACAGTCAATATACACCCAAGTATTTGTAAGAATGAACCTGGGTAATACAACTGTTATGGACTAGTAATGGAGAATGGTCCCCCAGATGCCCTGGATCAAAAATAATTTATTTTGTTTTCTTAGTGTTTACAATAAGATGATGGTTCTCACACCATTGTACAAACCTTTTAACCTCCAAAGTATAACTAGAAATGTCCATATCTACATCCATAAGTCCTAAGATGGCAGTGTCATCAGAAAAGTGCTGGGATAACTACTTGTATAATCATTTGCATATAATGTAAACAAAATGGGAGAACTCACATATCCTTGCGGAACACCTGTGTTCACAACTTTAGACTCATATAATGCCCGATTCACTCTGACCTGCTGGGTCCTATTAGTCAGAAAAGAGTGATACCACTTAATGATGTATGGATTCACAGACATCTGCCTAAGTTTACTGGGAAGGATGTGTGGCTGCAGAGTGTTAAAGGCAGAGCTGAAGTCCACAAACAGCAGTCTAGCATAGGCCTGGGGGTTTTCAAGATGTTGCAAAATAAAGTGTGTTATGGTTAATAAAGCATTGTCCGTTCCCCGATTGGCAAACTGATACGGATCTAGCTGTCCCTTTATGTTTGACTTTAACTTCCCCACCATTAGCTTTTCCAGACATTTCATTAGAAGTTAGGGCTACTGGTCTAATCATTATTTTCCTGAGGAGTAGATTTTTTTTGGAAGAGGAGTAATTATTGCCTTTTTCCAGAGAGATGGAACTGTATATGAATCAACAAACCTTTTAAAGACAGGGACCCAGGCTGATGTGAGTTCCTCTGTGCATGTCTTCAAAAGGAAAGCTGAGACCCCATCAGGGCCAGTTGCCTTATTAATGTTTGTTCTTTTTAATGTTTGTTTGTTTTGTTCTCAAGTCTTGTGACCTCCCTGGGACTAATGTCTATCCTTGGAACACAACACACACACACGCCCGCACGCATGCACACACACGCACACACACGCACACGCACGCACACGCACACACACACACACACACAGATCTGCTGTCAGCTTGTGTTGACTGATTTAATACTGTACAGTACAAACTCTTTGGTTTCAAGTCAACATGAAAATTCAACCTATTTCACCCCAAAATAAATTAAAAGATCTGTCATTCACTCACCACAAAGTTGTTCCAAACCTAACATTCATAACTTTCTATCTTCTGGATTTTAATTAATTGTGCTGGGTGCTCTTTACAGTTGCAAAGAACGGAGACTGAGACTTTCAAGACTGAGACTACAAGGAAACAAAAACCATGTAAATGTCATAAAAGCGTTCAAAAGACTTGGACATTTATTTTAAGAATTCTGAAATCACATATCAAATGTCATTATTCATTTGCTCAAAAAAATGTACTCATGAACCAAAACAACCAGCTCTGAGACGATGTTAGACACAGCAATAAATACATTTCAAAAGAAAGAAAGAATATCTTTTTTAACTCACTTTTTTTTTTATAAACTAATATCTTAGGTAATTTTGCTTCTTCATTGAGTAATGTGGGAAATGGAATTCCATGAGGCATTGCAAACAAAATATAAACAATGATACAACAATTATGTTGTCATTGATTATAAGTATAAAAACAATGCATTTTGCAATGCATAAAGTTTGTTAATTATAAAACAATAAATATATGAATATACAAATATATGAGTATAAGTATGGTCTATCTTTTAAGATTATGGATAGTGGCATTCTGTAACCGAGGAACCGTGAATTCAGCAACATATTTAAAACATTATAAACATAAAATAAAAATAATTGTGACATCACTTAACAGTCAGATCTGATAGGTTTATATACACTGAACATATAAACTATTTTCAATTGCTAGTAAACGGCAAGTAACACAATGAAGATTACATTTTGAAGAAGAAAGACTGAATTAGTAATTTATGGTAAAACATGATGAACAATCTTTAGTCAAATTAACCATTTAGCAAAGAGTCCACATTTAAGTCATTTTTACTCAAACAACATCAACATTAACTAAATAAAGGCATGAATGAGTAGCAAATGTAGGATCTCAGACGTGGTGAAGAGCAGAGCAAGTGGAGCACTGAATGAGGAAAACAGGAGTGTGGAAGGGTTTCTGTCATTTGGAGGAGGGGAGAGAGAGGGGTTATTGAGGCCGAGGGATTACTAATACTTTAACAAGAGAATTGACATGTAGTTGCAAATTAATGAGTCAGTTGACAGGTAGTTGCAAAGTTATTTATAGTTAGTAGAATGTCTACTGTGGATTATCAAAATAAAGTTCTTTAAATGTAAGTAAATAAGTCATGCTCTTTGGACCCCAAATCATGCTGGAGAACGTGATAAAAAAAAACGAATCCATCATTAAGATATTTTAACTTCAAACCTTCGCTTCTGGCCAAAATACATATTCCATAATTCATAATAAGTGAAAAGTTCTATCCATCTCCTCTCACATCAAAATCCACTGACATATTTGTTTTGGACTGTTTCGGCTTGTAAACACTGGTTGATCTGTGCATATTTCTCTCCTAATTCTGACAATTTTCTCACTGGGGAAAGCAATATTATGGACTATGGAGCCATAAGCAATCATTTGAAGCTAAAAAATGCCCTAAATATGGATTTGTTTATTATAAACATGCAGCTTTTTACTTTACAATACATTAACTGATGCAATGTGGATTATCAAAATAAAGTTATTTAAATGTAAGTAAATAAGTCATGCTCTTTGGACCCCAAATCATCCTGGAGAACATGATAAAAAAAAACGAATCCATCATTAAGATATTTTAACTTCAAACCTTCGCTTCTTGCCAAAATACATATTCCATAATTCATAATAAGTGAAAAGTTCTATCCATCTCCTCTCATATCAAAATCCACTGACATATTTGTTTTGGACTGTTTCGGCTTGTCAACACTGGTTGATCTGTGCATATTTCTCTCCTAATTCTGACAATTTTCTCACTGGGGAAAGCAATATTATGGACTATGGAGCCATAAGCAATCATTTGAAGCTAAAAAATGCCCTAAATATGGATTTGTTTATTATAAACATGCAGCTTTTTACTTTACAATACATTGCCTTTGACTACATTCTAAGTCTATTGAAGTCAATATAGATGAATGTAAAGAACAGACCAAAAATTAAGTTCACTTTTACTGAACATCTCCCATTTGTTGTAAAGTCTTGTTCAAACGTTTGCTTCGTAGTATTTAGTCAGTGGTTTCTAGCAACTGTTTGGTTTCCCACATTCTTCAAAATGTCGTCTTTTGTGTTCAACAGAAGAGAACAAAAAACTTTTTTTAAGGCTTTTTAAGGCTATACACCTTCACTTTCAAGAAAAAGTCCAGTTTAAGTCACAAGGGTTAATAAAAGTTGACACAGCATTCATTTTAGGGTGAACTATTGCTCTAATTAATTGTTAATGATTATATTGATCATCTATTGGGCATATTTACAAACTTTCTAATTTTTTACAAATAGTTTAGGAATATAGTACACTACCGTTCAAATGTTTGAGGTCATAGGGTTTTTATTTATTATTTTTTTATTTTAGAAAATACTTTATATTATTTTAATACTTAAATTTATTCAACTGCTCAAAAGTGACAATAAAGACATGTATAACGTTACAAAACATTTATATTGCAAATCAATTCCATACTTTTGAACTTTCTGTTCATCAAAGAATCCTGGAAAACGTTTATCACAATTTCCACAGAAATATTAAATATTTCCACAGAAATATTGAGTGTTTCTTAAGCATTACAACTGTTTTTAATATTATATAATAATAATAATAATAATACATGTTTCTTGAGGACCAAATCAGCATATTAGAATGATATCTGAAGGATCATGTGATACTGAAGACTGGCATAATGATCCTGAAAATTCAGCTTTGCATCACCGCAATAAATTATATTTTAAAATATATTAAAATAGAAAACAGTTATTTTAAACCGTAATAATATTGAACAATTTTGCCATTTTTTATCACAATTTCCACAGAAATATTGAGTGTTTCTTAAGCATTACAAGCATATTATATAATAATAATAATAATACATGTTTCTTGAGGACCAAATCAGCATATTAGAATGATATCTGAAGGATCATGTGATACTGAAGACTGGCATAATGATCCTGAAAATTCAGCTTTGCATCACCGCAATAAATTATATTTTAAAATATATTAAAATAGAAAACAGTTATTTTAAACCGTAATAATATTGAACAATTTTGCCATTTTTACTGTATTTTTGATCAAAGAAAGATAAAAAGGTAAGAAAGAGATGGTTCTTTAAAGAACCTTTGACTGAATGGTTCTTTGTGGAACCAAAAATGGTTCTTCTATGGCATCGCTTGAAGAACCTTTTGAAGCACCTTTATTTTTAAGAGAGCATGGATGGGTCAGATTTCTCAACACCAAGTAGATGTTGGTAAGCTGCATAAACATAAGAAGTCGTATTTTGGGTTCATAATATGTTCTGATTTCATTTTCTATAAAATTTCCCTGTAATTTAGCCTGGATTCATTTCCTTCTCTCTCTTCTGAGGAACATGCAAAATCCTTTCCAGAGGATTTTGTTCCACCTACATCCCCTCAGTTTCCCCATCCACCCACCAGGCCGTGGGGGCTCATTTCCCTGTGTGAAGATCACGGTGTGCTGAATGACAGCAGGGATCTTTGGGTGGCAAACACATTCCTGACATACCGGAGGCGGGGGGTCGGGGCACTGCATGTCATCCTTCCAGCGCTGGGTGGGGCATTAAAACCATGTGGCATTCCAGCACTTCTGCTGCTACGGGAATGTTCCGGCCTCAGGATGAGTTAAGCTCTATCAACAGCATCTGTGATACAATATCGATTAGCACAGAAAGAATGTTGTCTCCTTCGGGCAAAAAAAAAAAAAATGCATGTACAATAAAGTACTTACAGTAGACACTTCAATGTTTAACCCTGTAAAGCCTGACATAAAATAATAGTGAGATTTTTTTTTTTTTGCATGTACAATAAAGTACTTACAGTAGACACTTCAATGTTTAACCCTGTAAAGCCTGACATAAAATAATAGTGAGATTTTTTTTTTTCTAATAGAACATTTTATTGAACCTTTGAACAACATGTTTTTAAAGGTTTGCATGTTGAGTGTCATATTTGATGTATCTGGCTTTTATAGCTCAAATAGTGAGAAAATGGAGCTCATACTCAAGGAGGAAAAACCACATCAATTTTATTCAGAGGCACAAACGGAGCAAAAATGTACAATTTGGTGCAGATGCTGATATTTATATGGCCAAAAAGTAAGATGATGTTTTATAACAGTAAAACTCCCTTTGTTTTATGATCAAAGCTCTGTAGTTACATATACATATATATATACATTGCAATGTCATACAATGATGACTGTGAGACCAGCGTTCCTCAAAAGCCTGATGAATCATATTTTATACTCACATTTTAACATGATTTTTCAAAAAAAACAAAAAAAACAATGATTCATGGATAATAAAGTAAACCTTTAGTCCAGTAAATGTTCATCTTGAAATATAACTAACAATATAAAAGTTATTCTTACATTTACATTATACAAGTATAAAAGTAAAAATTTCACAAGAAAAAGACAAATTTTAATTTCAAAAATTATACTACCTTTTACTTGCACTAGTTTTGTGTGAAAACTAAAAATTACTCATTCCTGTTACACTGTATTGCAATTTAAAGAAGTATTTTTTTTTTATAAAAGAGTAGCTCAAGCAATTTAATTACAACTTGACTATTTACACAACAGCAAGAAAAGCAACAGATTGGAAACAGAGAGCTAAAGTTAACCATTGCTCAGTGAGGGGCTGAGAGTTTAACTTTTGAAATGGTGATTTTATCAAACCAATTTTACTTTCATTTTTCCAGGATGAAGAGTTCTTGCAAACCAGCTAACAAAACATCACAGAACCTATTAAATCCACTGCTAATACTCACTAATGCTGGTGCTGGTGCTGGTGCTTTCCCTCCAAAATGATGTCACATCCCATGCAATGATGTCATCACAGAACTGGCTTTAGTTAAAGGGATCAGTTCACAAAAGACTAAAAGAAAGGAAAATTATATTGGAAAAACTTGGAAATTCATTAACAGTTGCAACAAAAGTATCATGAAACATGTTTAGTTTAAAAAAAATTTACTAGAGAAATTCACTGAGAACTTTAGAACAATATACAGACTATTTACATAACACACATAAATTCCAGTTTTCTCTATAATTCCCAGTAATATAATATACGTAAATGCTTAGTTTTATGATCTTTCAGAACATGTAATACAATACAATACAATTGTATTGACAGATTAACAAATAAATGTTCCTTGAAAGTCTGATGTATCATTTTTGATGGATTTTAACATGATTTTCCCCCCCAAAATGATGGATAATCAAGCAAACCTGAGTTTAAACATGTTTAGTCTGAAACATTTTAGTAAAAATGAAGAAGCACCTGGAATATTTCTTAATGAATTGCCAGTTTTTCATGTAAGACGTTGCAAACATGACCCAAACGAAATCCTTAACCAAAGCAATGGTATTATTTAAAATTCAATCCTATGTTCGCTTCATTTAATAACATCACTTGTTTTTATATTTCATCAGATATTAAGACATATGATGAGGATATGGAAGTTTACTGTTCAAAGCATCAATAAAATCCCTAATAAAGCCTTACAGTAGTCCATGCATCCAGAGGTGTAAAGCTGCGGATCCAGTAATCTGCTGGAGTGTGTGTAGTGGTGTGGTTGAATGGGGCTGATGGAGCTCCAGCCCTCTGACACAGATTGGGTGGCGTAGCTGCTGGGTGGAGTCACGCAGACAAATACTCACACTTGTAGCTGTGAAACTCTTAGTTTGCTCTCCCCGCAGAGCCGTGTGGATTTACTACCAGAAAGCAGCCTTTATTTGTGTCTGCTGAGCACAGCAGATTAAAAAACACGCCAGGAATCTAAACGCTTGTTCACCGTCTCTACTGTGTGGGTTTGAATTTAAGGACCATCTGGGTTTTTTTCTGCCTTTATTTTCTTTTTTAACTCTTTGAAGAAGACACAAAGGAGGATGGGTGCTCAGTTGTCTAAAGGTGAAGCTACAGTGGACGGAAAAGCCGTGGCTGAGAAAGCCAATGGTCAGGTGAGGATCTACAAGCACTTTTATGATTAAACTATCAGCTTTCTGCTATATCTAAATTGGATCTCAATACTTTTTTTTTGCCTTTCAGTAGCCTAATACCATTTATCCAACAATACACATTTTACAATTTAATCTTTGAATTTGTGTTAAATTTTTTGATTATCAAATTGGTTATGTCTACAATATCATTTCAGTTCTGAAGAAGGCTTTTGTGTTGAACCTTTTTTTTTTATTTTGAGGGTTTGAATAGATTGTTTTTAATTCTCTCTCTCTCATCTGTTTTTTAATGTCTTTTAAACCCATTTTAATTAGTTTAGTTAGTTATCAAGCAGACTCTGTGGTTGTGTGTTGGCGCTGAAGCTGGCAGTAACCCGACTTGAGAACAAAAGGTTGCAGAGCTGCATAGAAATGATGCAGAGCGCTTCTGCTGATCTGCAAACAATGCAATGCATGCGTGAGTGTCCAATATCATTTCAGTTCTGAAGAAGGCTTTTGTGTTGAACCTTTTTTTTTTTATTTTGAGGGTTTGAATAGATTTTTTTTTATTCTCTCTCTCTCATCTGTTTTTTAATGTCTTTTAAACCCATTTTAATTAGTTTAGTTAGTTATCAAGCAGACTCTGTGGTTGTGTGTTGGCGCTGAAGCTGGCAGTAACCCGACTTGAGAACAAAAGGTTGCAGAGCTGCATAGAAATGATGCAGAGCGCTTCTGCTGATCTGCAAACAATGCAATGCATGCGTGAGTGTCTGCGTGTGTGAATGCATGGACCATTCCTCTGGTACTTCATTAATAATCATTCTACCCATTCCCCTTAATGCATATGCGCCCTTCCCCCTCCATATGCAATAAGAGAGCTCTTTTCTTTATTAATCAACGCAGTGCATTATTTTGCATATATTTATGCATATAATTTAAACACCCCAATACTTGCACAGATTAAGTTACTGTATTTCAAGGCTATAGTGCTCGGCTGATACATCATCTGAATGGCTAGTTGTCAGATACCATGTAAATGCAATAAAAAAGAGTGGGATGTTGTTTTAGGGTTGCTGTCTCCCGTTTCTTTGTTCTCTCTGGCAGTGGCTGGTTTTCTAAACTGTGGATTATGTTTAGTGTATCAATATCGCCTCTAGTGGACTCAGTGTGTAATTACACTAAGTACTTCTGCTTTTGGGTTTAATGTAATTATGTATAACAATCCTCAAGAGTCTTTTCTGATTGAAAAATATACTGTTTTCTAGATGTCCTGAATTAAGCAGTAATTTATATCTATTTTGGCTATTTTAAGGTTTAAGTACTACAGTGATGAGCAGAGTGATCTTTAAGTCTCAATTCTTCTAATATTGTTGTATTGTGAGGTTTGCTTTTACATACAACTGATTTTTTTTTAAACTAGTGATTTTAATATTTATTTATAAATAAAAATAGAGGTACATATCCACTGAATGACTTAAAAGTACTTGGTATTGGATCAAAATGAGTGGTAGCTATATGCTTTGAAAATATGGCCAGCACATTGTGCTATAAACTATACTATAAAAGCAAGCATTTACTATGACTATAAACACAAACATTTACCCCTTTGCTTTTCTCCAGTGTGTGTGCCAACATGCATTTGGCTTATCTTCCCTCATTCTGCTTTTCTCTTCAGGAAAATGGCCATGTGAAAACCAATGGTGATGTATCTACCAAGCCAGATGGAGAAGCCGTGGCAGCAGATGGAAATGGAACCGTGGAAGTTGCCAAGGAGGAGGCCGCCAAGACGGAGGCGGTAGATGGCATCGAAGCTGCCCCTGCTACCGAAGGCGACGCCGCCAAATCCGACGGCGAAGCTGCAAAGGAAACCAAGAAGAAGAAGAAATTCTCACTGAAGAACTCCTTCAAATTCAAGGGCATTTCCCTGAAGAAGAACAAGAAGGAAAGTCAGGAGGCAGTGGAGCCCGCAGCCACGCCCACCGCCGAAGACAAACCCGAGGAGAACGGCCAGGCTGCTACAGAGACCAAAGAGGAGGAGCCTGCTGCGGCAGAAACCAATGTGACACCGGCACCTGAGGCGGAGGCGGAGCCCAAAGCAGAGGAGGAGGAGGAGGAGCCTAAAGCAGAAGAGCCCGCCCAGGAAACAGAAGCCGCACCCACAGAGGAGACCACAAAATCTGACGAGACCCCGGCCCCTGCTGAAGAGACCACGCCCACCACAGCCTCAGACCCGGAGCCAGCTGCAGAGTGACCTCACTTCACTGTGGCAACCTAGACTGTTTATCTTTATCCTTTTTTTCTTTTTGAGATTGAAATATATAAATATATATATATATATATATAAATATATGAGACTTAGGCCACAATCCTAAAGTTACAGCAATACTACAGAGAAACTGAGTTCTTTTACCATCTTTGCTGATAACGGTCAAGAGCGTTTTTTTGGGAATCGGGCTGGGAATTGCTCTGTGTATGGATTGGAACGACTGATGGAATTTCCACCTCAGAGGAAGAGCTGCGGATGGAAGAACGTGGCTCCCTGTTCAAAGTCTTTTCAGTCATTTTTCTCTTTTAAACTTCATCCGATCCTTGATTTTTCAGGGCTGATGAGTGAAATGACAAATTGTCCTCTTAGGAGATGGTTACGGGGAGATGTAAAACTACAACAAAAAAAAAACTTTTTTTAAATGTTTGAATAGCTCTACATTCCAATTTTTAGCCCTGAAACTGTAGAGTGTCAGAAGATCTGGGCAAGTGAATAGGTTTTAGTCTTAGCCTGTTTTTAATGGTTTTACAGTTTAAATCAGATCCAGCTACACATTTCAAAGTTTATGACAAAGGGGAATTAAACCACTGCTTTTATCAAATATATATATATTTTTGTTCTGTTAAGTCTCTGTACATACATTTTCTGACTCTTTATTTTGCTAACATTTCCAGGTGTTAATAAGACGTTGTACGATTAGGCCAAATAAATGTTTGACCGACCCCCGTGTTTGTTTGTTTTTCTATCAAATTTAGTTATTTTTTTTTGTTAGAACATTATTTAAACAATATCAAATAACTTCATCTGCACAAAGAACATCTTATATTAATATTGCATATTGTAAAAATTATGCATGTTTAGCTGACATTCAAATTCAGACAAAAAAATGATGAACTGTCTAATCTCATTGGGAATGTAAATTCACATTAAGAAACTAAAAGACGAGACCCCAGCCCCTGCTGAAGAGACCACGCCCACCACAGCCTCAGACCCGGAGCCGGCTGCAGAGTGACCTCACTTCACTGTGGCAACCTAGACTGTTTATCTTTATCCTTTTTTTCTTTTTGAGATTGAAATATATAAATATATATATATATATATATAAATATATGAGACTTAGGCCACAATCCTAAAGTTACAGCAATACTACAGAGAAACTGAGTTCTTTTACCATCTTTGCTGATAACGGTCAAGAGCGTTTTTTTGGGAATCGGGCTGGGAATTGCTCTGTGTATGGATTGGAACGACTGATGGAATTTCCACCTCAGAGGAAGAGCTGCGGATGGAAGAACGTGGCTCCCTGTTCAAAGTCTTTTCAGTCATTTTTCTCTTTTAAACTTCATCCGATCCTTGATTTTTCAGGGCTGATGAGTGAAATGACAAATTGTCCTCTTAGGAGATGGTTACGGGGAGATGTAAAACTACAACAAAAAAAAAAAACTTTTTTTAAATGTTTGAATAGCTCTACATTCCAATTTTTAGCCCTGAAACTGTAGGGTGTCAGAAGATCTGGGCAAGTGAATAGGTTTTAGTCTTAGCCTGTTTTTAATGGTTTTACAGTTTAAATCAGATCCAGCTACACATTTCAAAGTTTATGACAAAGGGGAATTAAACCACTGCTTTTATCAAATATATATATATTTTTGTTCTGTTAAGTCTCTGTACATACATTTTCTGACTCTTTATTTTGCTAACATTTCCAGGTGTTAATAAGACGTTGTACGATTAAAATGTTTTTCACAAAAACACCTACACCTTCACAAAGAATATGTTATATTAATTGAGCATTGTAAGAATTTTGATGCTCATTTAGCTGACAAGATCTTTCAAATTCAGATAAAAAGAATGAACTGTATAGTCTGATTACAAATCCTAATTCACAAAAAATACGCTAAATGATAGAGAGAAGTAAGTTTCCATTTTTTTTGCAGGACAATTCATTCTGCCATTGTTTACTCACCCTCATATCACATGTATTTATTTCTTCGGTGGAACACACAAAATAAAAGTCAATTAAGTCCAACATCTTTCAAAATATCACCTCTTATGTTTCAAGTCTGGAACAACATGAGGGTGGGTAAATGTTAGAAGTAAAATTTTTGAGTGAATGACCCATTATTTGCTAAAAACTGAGCACATATTTTACAAGCTTTCGACAAAGGTTTTTTTGTTTGTTTGTTTTTCAGTCTGTTTCTCTCCATGGCTTGTTCCAACAGGATTTCTTTTCTTTAGCTACTCAGCAATTAGCTACGCAGCTAATGCAGAGTTCACGCTTCACGATTTTAGCCCGATTTTTCACTCGCCGACAGGTTTTGCGAAATCGCCGACAAATACCC